ATTCACCCCACCCCTTCCCCACCCCTCCCTGCATCTCTTCCCCTCCATCTCCACCCCCATACATCTCCAGACCCAAGCCTGTCTTTCTGATCCTTCCTATGGCAGCTACATGTTGGACACCCTTACATCCCAGAGGCCTTGTTCAATCTTGTCCCCTTTGACAAGTAGGTCCTGAGAGAGTCACCTATTCAGGGCTAGATGCAGACATACTATCCAACAGGCACGTAGTTTTCCACTCTTCTGATCATAGTCTTTAAATACAGCATCTATTTCATGATCATAGAGAAAGAAGATTTTCTATTAATAAAAAACAAATGTCCCTTTATTTGCAGCAAAAACAGCAACTTCTTCACATGCGCTGAAATGTAACATTTAACTTTTTTGGAATTATCTTTCAGTTCACAATGTTTCTATCATTCCTAAGTGACGCAAACGCTCACATTTGCTAAGAATAGACGCGGTCTGTCTGACTATAGCAATAAAGCAAGTCTGTTCAAGAAGTGTTTCAAGTCTTCTTGGTGGCCTTCCTACTAATGAAACACCTTGTGCTTTCTGTGGTTCTTTTTCTACTCTGCTTCCTTTTGTGGTTTTCCAAAGCAGATTTGGAAAGAACCATAAAAGGGTATACGTTCACAATTATAAAATAAGTCATTTGTTCCCAGAAAACAGCCCTTTTGGTGTCAGAATTTCAGGACTGATTAAGGAGCAAGTCTCAGGGTTGGGCATTGTGCGGCATCCAAAAATACAAACAAACAAGGTGCAGTTACTCAAAATTTCCACTTGAGGGTGCTGGTTCCTTGGGTGGCAAATAGACTGCACAGGCATCCTGCTGGTGAGGTTCCATAGCCACCTGGAGCTACCACACCATAGAATGTCACACAGTGTCTGTCCACAGCTCCTCAGGTCCTCAACCCCATTATGAGTAGGGCCCAGCTTAGGGGTAACTCACACCTGATCCCGACACCTCAGCTCCCCCAGAAGAGAGGGCAGAGCAAGCCGGAATGAGAGAAGGCAAGAAGTTTGTGGAACATTGAAAGACAAAGAGACCTGGGAGGAGTGAGACACCAGACAATGCTTATTGAAGGAGTAGCTGGGCCTGACCCACTAGCTGAGCAAATGAACAGGGATGGCCAGCCTCACACAACAGTCCAGAAGTTCTGGGCACTCGGCAAAGGCCGGGATTGGAGACCAGGCCCTGTGAAGAGCGATGCTTCCTGGTGAAATGTGGCCACGGTGAAGCTGTTCCTGGGGTCCCTCTCTGGGTCACCGGTCTTTGCATCATAGCTGAAGTAACAGAGGATGCAGGTGATGGCCACAGTGACAACAAAGAGCACTGCCACCATTCCAATCACTGCTGTCTCCATGATTCTGAGTGACACTTGTCACATGTGGGTGATCTCTGAGCCTTAGTGTCCCATCAGAAACAGGGGCTATTGGTTGTCACAGGTGCTCTATGCTGGATGGCTGCCCCTCCTCGGTCATCTAAGATGCTGGTCTGAGGCCTTGGATTGTGGCATCCTAGACCACTAACCCTTCTGTTGGAATCAGATGATCTTTGGTCTAGTTTTTAACTTCAGATCAGACCTGCAAAAGATGTGGTCAACTCCACTAGCAGCTTTTAGAAGCATCATCAGGGAAGATGTAAGCAAATGACTCCCTGAACATGAAGGAGAGACATGCCAGGCCAGCCCTAGCCCATTAGCAATGCCACAGGACTTCAAGAATGACTGATTAAAAACAAAAATAGCAACTATACACTTGGGAAGACAAAAGCCTCCCCATCAGTGTACCCAGGAGGAGCCTGGCTCCTCTGAGGGAGGTACCCAGAGTCAGTCTTCCAATTGGCCTCTCTGCTGCACTCCCAGCCCCTGGACCCGGGCTGGAAGGCAAGTGTGGAGACGGACACATGCCAGCTCTAAGCAACATGGAGGCGAGGCGAGGCAGCACACACAGGTCATTACGTATTCCAAGGGCATTCAGTGGGCAAGGCGGGAGAGACGGCAGGTTGTATTTGACCTCGCTTTCTGAGCAGGGTTGGAAAGTATGGTATAGACAAGGAAGCACATTCTCCAGTCCCTTTAGTGACATCTCATGGGGCCCTTTCACTTTCTATACACAAAAGGGCCTCCCTTTTGCTGCCACCCGGGGCCCACTACTTACACTGGGTGCTATGAAGACTTACCCCGGATCTCAGGCGTGCCAGCTCTGACCCCCTGTCTGGTGACCACCCCAGGTGGCCATGGCTCTTTCCAGAAGCCTGCAGTGGTTTTCTTTGGTGCTGCCTGGAACTTGGCAGGGAGATGTCTGAGCAGCTGTGAGTACTTCCTGAATCCCTTCCTCCAATTGTGATTGAAGGCCTGTGACCCACAGCCACCACCTCCTCAGCTACAGCAAGCACTCAGCCCGCCCCACACGCTTGCTTGCAGGATCAATCCTTAACTGCCCCTTGAGAGGTATCAGAAGAGGGAGTCCCGCCCATGCCCACTTATGCCTGGCGCCTCCTGAGACTATACCACATCCAGAAAGGAGTCTGTGTTATCAGCTGCCCTTTACCATACTGTGAAAAACGGAGTCTTCCAGGTCCTGGACACAGCCAGGCCTGTCTCATAAATACTGGTCCCACAACCTGTGCAGTGATCGAGTCTCCATTTTACAGGTACAGTCACAGAGCAAATACGCCCGGCCAGGACAGTTGCCAGTTAGTCAGGATAAGGACAGCAACAAATGGCAGAGCAGGGATTCCCTTCCTGTACTCCAACTTGCTCTTCACAGAGAACATACAGAGTGATCACCTGATCACCGTTTGCCTGATTAGGTCCCCAGGGCCCCCAAGAAGAGAGAGAACAGGACCCAAGGTCATGCAGCCAGGATCTTTTCCAGATTCTCCAAGGCCCAAGAGAACTTCAGTGGCATTATAGGTAAACAGCTACTAGGGAGGAGAGCAAACAATACACTGTTTTGTTCTAGCCCAGCCCCTTTTCTAAGATGCTCCAAAAATCTGGGCTCATCCTCCTCATGGGTACAGGGAGTCAAGCCCTTGGCAATATTTCTCTTAACTGGGGCAACCAGAAGTAGGAAGATGTAAACAGGAAACACACATCAGAGCTATCTGAGCCCCCAGCATCCCCTGGTGGGGCTGGGAGAGGAGCCCCAGAGGCTGTTGTGAACTTGACTGTTTATCTTGCTTCTCCTTTGCCTGTTCTTTGAGTGTGTGTGTGGTGGTGGTGGTGGTGGGGAGAATGGCCTGGCAATTCCATCAGGAATGTCCAGCCCTGTTACCTTCTACATTGTATAATTTTCTACCTAAACTTTCCCCTCTTTCCCATTCTTGAATTATCTGTCAAGTCCCCTTGAAGCCACAGAAGTGGGCAGGTCTGCAGCAGGCAGGATGCAGGAGGCTGTGAATAGAGAGGGGAGGAGCTAAGGGCTGGGCTGAGTTGACATGGCGATGAGGAGGGAGAGATGGACACGATGAACACTCCAGAGAGAAATCAACCCAACAGACCTCTTGCCCACTTTCCCATCACAGAAATCTGGTGTGGTTGTCATTGTCGTTCATCTACCCCCTTCCTCACTGGTCACTCCTCCCCTAGTCCTCACAGAGAGTCCACTGGGAAAGGGAAGGAAAGGGACATTCTATTCCAGTGAGTCACCCTGACTGTCTGGCCAGTTCCCTCCCCCACAGAGCCTTGCCCTGCTTCTCTCTTGTTCCCAGGCTAAGGCTGGGACAAGATTTCCTTTCCCTTCATAGATAGCGTTTGGGACCTTGCATGCCTGTTGACTTTGGTAGAAGTCTCTACTATCTATGTCATTTTAAGGAAGCAGAAACTGAGGTCCAGGCCACCCAGCACTCCACGCAATTTAAATAACTCTGTTGTTCCCCCTGGTCTTATCAGCCACTACTGTGAATCTGCAAACAGGCAGGTTGGAGATTCAAGGTCTGGATAAGAATCCCTACCCAGTCGCCAAAGAAACACAACCCAGTGCAGCCAGAGGGTGGCGCCTGCCCAGGACCATGCTCAGAGGAGCACTGGAGGCAGTGCTCTACATGGCCTCAACTGTCCTTTCTCTAAAGCCCTGGGTATCCACACCGAATGTTTCCTTCTAGCGTAGGCAGGGGTCACCCACTTCTCCCCATTCTACAGGCAGATCCCAGCCCCGGCTTCCCATCCCAGAAGAGTTCCCAGGGGCTCCCTCCTCCCACTGTGCTACAATTAAGAACATTCTCACACACAAAAAATAAATAAATGCTTTCTGGTGGCTTTTATTTGTTATAGCCAAGCAACAACGAAAGGGCCACCTGCCCCATACACAGGCTGCCCCTGTAAGGGCATCATAGGGCCTCCCGAGTCAGATGAGCTCTTCATATCCACCTGAGCACTGGCTCTGCCAGACACCCTTGATACATCTGGGGTCATCAGGAATTGCAGTCACAAGCTAGGATGTCCAGTCAGCCCAGCTCCAAGCCCAAGTCCTACACTGTAAGGGCTGCCCAAGTGGTTCCAAGGTCTCTGTTGTACAGGGTGAAAAGGACTCATGCACAAATGAAACCCAAGCAGGACTCAGGTCCCAGCACTCCCATTCACCCCAGAGACACATCCTTTTCTATGGAAACATTAGGGTCCACTTATTTTGGTGTGGGATGGAGGGCAGGTCCAGGTAGATGCCATTGGCCTCAGCGGCGGGCTCCGCGAGCATGGTGGTGGTGGTGGAGGTGATGAGGAGAATGGTGACGCTGGTGATGGTGATGGTGGTGGTGATGATGAAAGCCTGCACTGGTCACCCCAGACACGTGGCCACGGTGATGGCGATGGTGATGGTGAAAGGCTCCCAGGAGACCCCCTCGCCGGCCGTGGAAGAGTCGAGGCCGGGTTTGCCGGACTCGGTTTCTCTCCACGTCATGTTCCTGTGATCCATGGAAAAGACAGATGGCCACCAATAGCAGCAACAATAAGATGGCCAGCACAGTGCCGGCAATCCAGCTCACAAGGGCTGTGCTCCCCAGAAGGCCTAACATCTGGAAGCCAGAGGGTCCAGCTTCACTCGGTGGTTCCCTTAGCAGCCTCTGCTTGGCCCTCACGGTCCCTGAAGTTAAGGTTGTCTCGGCTCCTGCAGGCTGGAGAGCGGCCAGGAAATGTGGGAGAGGCCTGTTTGGACTAGCTTCTCAACCAAGTACAAGGCCAGAAGGCTGTTTGAGGGGAGGCCATGCAGGAAGAGTGGGTGGAGACAGAGGAGCTGTGGGACTGGCTTGCTTGAAGGGAGGGCCCTGAATTTAGGGATAAGAGGTCAAGATCCTATCTATTGCTGCCTCCTGGCAGGGGGAGGACCCTCCTCTGGGCTTCAGTTTCCGAGAAAACACTGAACAGAGATTAAAGGTTTGGACCTATACAGCTCCCAGGCTCTGTGACTACAGCCTGCAATGTCCTCCATAGCTAAGGGTCCAAGTCTGCCCAGTGAGTCAGCCCAAGACCTGTGAACATCGGTCAGGGCTGGCTGGATCCTGATGAGGGCCACCAGCAGTCCACCATCCAAAGGGGTCCTTGCTTCTCCTGCTGGGTCTAGGAAGCCAGAGGGCTGGGTGTCAGTCTTGGGTAAATTGGAAGCAGAAGAAAAACCACCTGAGGTCACATGGGCCAGCCCCTGGGCTCCCAGATCAACAATCTCAATGGTTGGCAGTCTTCTTGCTCTCTCATCCTCCCTGTCACAAGCTTAGGTCATTCCTACCTGGCTGGGGACTAGGACAGTGATTGGAATGTGAAGTCTTCAACTCTGTCATTACTAGTTCTGAATCCCCCCATGAGCCCTTGCCATCACAGATGAGGCTCATGGTCTTCCAAAGCATCCCTGTTGTCTGCAAGCTGACTGGGATCTCAGCTTGCAGGGGTGGGGGCTCCCCAAAGCCCCAGCTCTCTACCCTGACCCTTAGGGGCCCTTCGGCCCCTTCCTCCAAGCTCCTTCTGATGAGTGCTCAGCTCCCCACCAACAGGAGTGCATTTACCTAACCCCAGGCTGGCTCTCAGGCTCTGCAGTAGCTCCATTTATAAAGTTGGGCAAGGCCCATTGCTTCCTCTGTGAGGTCCCATGGTGGAGGTGACCTCTAAGGAGAGTTCTCCTCCTCTAATCCCAATGGCAGCTGCTTTCTCTGATATCTTTAGTGAAAACCTGCAGCAGCTCAAAGGGTTAAATGTCACCTTTGGCCAAGCTGATCTCAGGAGTGGCTGGTCTCATGACTCCAGAGGCATCCCTAGCCCTCTGGAGAAGTCTCTTGAACTTTTAATGAGGCTTGAGTAAAGAACTCCTCCTTCTGGGGCTCTGGAGCCAGCTGTCTTCCCTTGAGGCACATTGAAAGAAAGCCTGGTGGTAGCTGGGAGAGTGGGGAGGAGGGAGAGAAAGAGGGAAGGAGGGAGAGAAGGCTAAACAGAGAACTTATCTCCCAGACTTTGCCAAGGAGACACCCACTCCACACAAGCCAGGGACTGCCCTGCAATGTGCAGACTGAAGACTCTCAGTCATTCCTAAGGGCCCCGGGGAATCATCCGCCCCAGCCCACCTTAGAGAAACTGACAGCAGGGAAGGGAAGGAACTTGCCGTGTCTCACCATTGTGGGCTAGTGTCCCCCCACAAGCCATCCGTAGAGCTTTAGTGGTGATGTGAAGAGCTGTCCAGGGTTGAGGACCTTAGCTGCTGCTGGGGTCGCCAGAGACAACGGAAGATAGTGTGCAGTAAGAGTGAGAGCTCAAGGGGCCAGGGCTTAAGAGACACTCACACACACACAATACATATTTACTTTATGAGGTACACATTTTCTCTCCTCTTGGATAAAAGCTAGGACCTTGAAGTGGTCGTCTTATTAGTTGCTTTGGTTACTTAGGGGTAACAGGATGCAGTCTGCAGGGCTCAGAAGTAACTCCTCGTGTCCACTGTGAGATAGTGTTTCCCACTTTTAATTCTGTGACTGCTTCACTGATAATTTTGAATGGCCTGACTAGACATAGGGTTTCTAGACTGATGGATGACCTCAGAGGGACTGGCTATGATGTAGTCCCAGCCTCAGAAAAGCTGTCCTGCGGCTCTGTCATTGTATTTCCTCCTGCGGTTGAGTCTTTCTTTTGCAGTACTCCACAGGCTGCTTTCTCAGGCAGGGCTTTCAGATGACCAGCTGATGCACAAGCCTTTGGGAGTTCTTGCTGTCTACTTCAATGCCATGATGTCCAAAGTGCCTCAACTCAATGAATGGCTTTGCACGCACACTTTAAAGCCAATGCCACCCTGTGGGAACTCATGATCCCCTTACTTGTGTGTGCACACATTCATGTACTTGTTCATACAAGTTCCACACAAGGCTGTGAGTGGTTTTGGTTGGTCAGCAAGAACAACCACATTGTTTTCACTAATTGGTGGCACCACCTAGTGGTGACAGTGAATAAATCACTTTTGTATTCTGACCCATCAAAATTTTCTATTATCCTGGTTTTTGTTGATAGATCATAATTAGCAGCCATACATTTAACTCACCATTCTGAATTATCAATAATATAACCAAAGAATTAAAGGTAGAAAGAGGGCGGTGGTGGCGCACGCCTTTAATCCCAGCACTAGGGAGGCAGTGGCAGGTGGATCTCTGAGTTCGAGGCCAGCCTGGTCTACAAGAGTTAGTTCCAGGACAGCTAGGGCTACACAGAGAAACCCTGTCTTGAAAACAAAAACAAACAAAAAAAACAAGAAAGGAAGAATTAAACATGGGAAAATACTATTTCACAGTAGAAGTCAACAATCACATCCTTGGTCCCAGAACGTCATGGTAAATTTCTAGGACATTCCTGGGAAGAAGTTGAAGGTATGTTCCAGTAGGCCTGTCCAAAAGTATGGAAGAGGCAGCCAGATCGAAGAACAGCCCAGAGGTGGGCTGAAGCAACAAACAACTGCAGCAACTTGACAACTGAGAGTGTCTGTCCGAGAGAATCCAGTCAGGGCTCCACCCATCCTTTGGTTTGATAGAAATCCCTGGACAGTGGCCAGCAGGTTCCTACCCTGGGCATTCAGGTCAGTTAGAGAAAGGAGACACGCTGCCAGGGAACTTAGAGCTGCAGGGCCACATGCCTAGAAAACAAGACCACAGACAAGCAGGCAGGGTCTTCATGCCTCAAAGCAATATGCTTGGAATTGTTCTATATAAATGTTTATAGATCTTCATCCCAAGCAAACCAAGACCAAAGTGCCCCCCATTCAGTAAACACCTAGAGAAGAGTCAATAGACAAGTTATTGTATCCTTACTTTTAGAGTCACTGGACTCCAAGTAGCAGAGACAGAAAAAAAAAGAAGAAGAAAAAAAAAACCCTCTCATCAGTACTCTATGGAACAAGGACAATCTATGCAACCAGAGGGTTTTTTGTTGTTGTTAATTTTACATATTTGTTGTTGTTGCTGCTGCTGCTGTAGTGTGTGTGTGTGTGTGTGTGTGTGTGTGTGTGTGTGTGTGT